CCTGGCTCTGTCCCCGAGTGCTGGAATTAAAGGTGTGCACCACCACCGCCTGGTTTCTTTTGCGTTTTCTGTCAAGAGCCACATAGCTTAGTTTTTTAAAGCGTTATTTCAATGCATTTCCAACTTGATTTCCATCCGACATAGGATCTTGTCTTATGACTAAGCCCTGCAGGCCTCCTCTCACAAACACATCACTCCTTGAAAAACTTGTCAATGCCCAAGTTTCTGGACTCTACACATCTTTGCTTTTCTCTGATTTCTCCCTTCACATACCTTGTAAGTTCGAAGAGGACATCCTTGATATCTGCTTTGAGATCCTGAACAAGAGCCTCTACTTTCTAAAGAACCCATCCAAAGACCATTCTCAGAGGAGCGACGTGGTGTACGTCTGCAGGGTGGTGAGTGCCATGGTAAGAGCAAAAGCTTGCCCCTGCCTGAGAACAGCCTGAGCATCTCCCGGATGTTGTGGAAACCCACCTGTCTGCTCTGCAGATCAACAGCAATGACGACAGTGGTGTGCTTCAGGGGAACTGGGGAGAGGACTACTCCCAGGGCATCAGCCCTCTGGAATGGAATGGCAGTGTGGCCATCTTGCGGCAGTGGTCAGCCAGGGGCGGGCAGCCTGTGAAATATGGACAGTGCTGGGTCTTTGCTGCTGTTATGTGCACGGGTGAGTGAAGTCTTACCCTCTGACTTTTTCTAATTTCTCTTTCATGTCAGGCCACAATCATCCCTGCTCTCAGAGTCCACTGCCGCTCATGAAGGGCCCAGAGCTTGCAATGGCCCATGGCTAGGAGCAGTGTGCACATGAGTTCTTAACCTGCACACTATTCAGCCTCCAGGGGACGATCTTTGCAATCACTCCATAGTCTCTTTGATGAAGAATGTTAGTAGTGGGCACCTGAGCTGGGCATGGTGGGTCATGCCTCTAATCCTAGCATTTGAGAAGCAGAGACAGTTGGATCGGAAGTTTACTTGGCTATATAGGGAATTAGGCTAACCTGTACTAGATGTGATCTTGTCCCAAGAGACAGACAGACAGAGAGAAAGGTGGCCATTTGGATAGAGCAACTTGTAGTCCCCACAAAAGGCAGAACACTTCTTCCCACTTGCTGCACTGGGCCAAGAGGTGGAAGCTGAAAGTGTAAGTAGACAGCCTTAGATAGCCCGACCTCACAGGTAGACCTCCCTGAGAGACTTGACTTACAATTAGAGCTTGGCTACCTTGCTAACTACCCGTGAGGAGAATACACACGTTATTCAATTGAGTGCATACCAACTGTTTACAATTCAGTGCCAAATTCTTGGCCCAAGTATCTGGGGAGCTGAAGAGCCTGGGGTAAGGAGGTGTTATCAGTCTCCCCCATGCAAAAGCACATCTTCTACGGGGGTGTCTAGTCACACTGTGTGCTGGGTGTTTTCTGCAGGAACAGGTGGATTCCATTGGAAGGGGGTGGGGCATAGGGTGAGAACAGTCTTCTGTCCTTGACTCATTGAAGGGAAGCATAGTCTTAGGTTCAGGGGCCTCAGAGACAGAGATTTAAATCCAAATACACATAAAGCGACCTCATCAGCTTACTTAGTCTGTGACTACTCTGGCCTCCTGTAGCCCGTGGGAGATCCCGTGGGAGCCAGGTGGCCATTATAAGATCCCCTTGAACCTTCAGATCCTAGCATGAACAGGAGAAGGACTAGATCCATGGCCTGGCCCCCTCTGCAAGCCCGTCCATCGTCACGCTTCCCAGAGTGCTGGGGCTGGTGAATGGAGAGAACTGTGACTGCCAAGCTGCCCTGGCAACCTGCAGCTTAGGTCTGCGCCCCAGGTGCCCTGCAGATGTGTGGAAAGCCCAGTGCAGTGCTGGCTTAGACACGTGGCCCTGCCGGGGACTTTAGAAACACGGGTGACAGCCGCCTCTGTAGACTCTGCCCTCCTTGGAAGAGTGGGTAGGAGAGACTTCTCCTGGACTCACTGGCAGACGTCCCAAGACACGCCTGGCTCTTGATCACACCTGGTTGTAGGCAGTTAGTTTGTGTATGTGTGTGAAGCGTGGTATGATAATGTCTGCTTTGAGTGAATGTGCCTGTGAAATCTTAGCTTTACGAACCATCCTGAGGATCCACAAGAGGGCGCTGCTGGCTTAGCAAAGATGGAGAACAGTTTTTAATTTCTGATGTCATCCATGTCTTTACAACGGAATGGATGCTTAGCCATAGCCTTACTCTTATTTGTTTATTTAATTATTAACATATGTTGTTGTGCTGAGGAATGAACTCAGATCCTTGTATGTGGCAGGCAAGCATTCTACCACTGAACTACATCCCCAGCCCTTTCATTTTTTTCTTCTTTTTCTCAACTTGTATCTTTAAATAGAATGGCAGAATCAGAATTTTAGAACTGAAAGCCATCCAGTTCAACTCTTCACTTTCTTACAAGGAGGCTAACCCAGAGACGTTAAGCCTTGTATCTCCAGTCACACAGCTTCTCTTTTGAAAGTGGCCACACCTTTCCACCCTTTTGGATTCTCACGTGTTTTAGTCTCTCTGCTTTTAACTTGGAGAACTGCTGGAGGGTGGGGGGAAGAGCTGGAAATGACAAGTTTATTATTGTTTTAAGTGGCTCACAAATGATTTCTCCCACTTTGTGGATGGATACCACTAATGGGCAGGCAGGCAGGCAGGCAGAAGCTTCTCCGGGTGTCACCCTTTGGGAATAAAAGAGTTGCTGCAAGTTTGAAGGTTGGAAACTATGCATGAAAAAATAATAATTGTTTGAAATGATCTTAGTCCTCTCTCCTTCTCTGTAGTAATGAGATGCTTAGGTGTTCCAAGCCGCGTCGTTTCCAATTTCCATTCTGCACACAACACAGACGGGAACCTGACCATTGACACCTACTATGACCGAACCGCAGAAATGCTGCCGACTCAGAAGCCAGACAAAATCTGGTAAGAGGTTTGGTCTGGAAAAACTCAGCGCTATCCCAGGTAGGGGACAAATTGTGATAGCCAGGACTAAATCGGACAAGGTCCCTCTATGCTGACCCGGAACTCTCTATGTAGACCAGGCTGGCCTCCAACTCCCAGAGTTCTGCCTGCTTCAGCCTGCAAAGTGCGGGATCAAATGTATGCACCACCATGGCCAGCTCCTTGATAACTTTCTCTATTATAATTACTTTCTGATACAAATTAGAGGGAAAAAAGAAGTATAAGCAAAGGCATAAGCCACCCTGCATAATGTCGGGTGCCTGAAAACCCATCAGGAAATATGAGCCCTGGCTCCTCCCTCCTTTCTGCAGGAACTTCCATGTCTGGAACGAGTGCTGGATGAACCGGAAAGACCTTCCACCAGGGTACAATGGCTGGCAGGTTCTGGACCCCACCCCCCAGCAAACCAGCAGTGGTGCGTGGGGATCATGTGACAGGGGCCAGGCTCTCTGGGAGGCCAATGAGGGTGTGCACCCTCATAGCCAGAGTGGTACAGCAGTCTCCTACCTCACCCCCTTCCCAGGGCTGTAGTCTAGGCAGTGTCAGATCTCAGGCATAACTTCGCCCATGATAGTGGGATCGCCTGGGGGAACGGTGAGTCTTTTTGTTCTTCCCTTTCCTATAAGGTAGGAAGGCGAGGTTGACAACAGCCACATCAATGCCGGTGACTGTGAGAATCAGACAAATTAGTGCGCATCAGTGCCCTTGGTAAACTGGAGAAAGCCCAGGTGTGAGGGGCATTATTGCCACTGCCCATCCTTTCTCATCACCTCCCGTGGCGACAGCCTTGGGCCCATATCTCAGCATCCACATCCCATAATTCCTGCTTCCTCCACAGGGTTGTTCTGCTGTGGTCCGGCCTCTGTGAAAGCCATCAAGGAAGGGGATGTCCACCTGCCCTATGACACCCCTTTTGTGTATGCACAAGTGAATGCTGATGAGGTCATTTGGCTTTTTGAGGGTGGCCAGGTCCAGGAAATCCTGGCCCATAATACCAGTTACATCGGGAAGGCGATCAGCACCAAGATGGTAGGGTCAGATGAGCGCCTGGACATCACCAGTTCCTACAAGTACCCAGAAGGTGCCTGGGCCTTGGATTTGGGAGGGAGTGGGTAACCATTGGATGACCCAAGTTAAAACACCACCACCTCCCCGATATGACAAAGTCCTAGGGGACTATTTTAGGTCCTGGTCACTTGATCCCAGAATAGATTTGCCTAGATTTAGAAAAAAAGAATATAAGATGCTCAATTAAATTTGAATTCCAGATAAATTAAGACAAATACATTATTATAAATATGTCCCAAATGGTACATGTGGCATTTTAAATTTTTTTCTATTACATTTATTTATTGTGTGTATGTGTGTATACATATGCATGTATATGTGTAGGAACATGTGTCATTGTGTGTGTGTGTGTGTGTGTGTGTGTGTGTGTGTGTGTGTGTGTGTGTCAGAGGACAACTTATAGGAGTTGGTTTTCTTCCGTCACAGGGACATTGAACTCGTGTTGTTAAGCTTGACAGTAGATGTCTTTTCCACTAAAGCCATCATGCCAGCCCTGCGTGTGACACCTTTCTGTTAAAAATAATTCACTATTTATCTGAAATTCAAATTAACTAGGTGTAACTTTGAGTGTATGTTCCACATAATTCACTATTAATCTGAATTAACTGGGTATAGTTTTTAGTGTAAGTGTATTCCCAACATTGCATGTAAGTATGCAAACTTTACAATAAAGATTATTTGCTTATCTTGAATTCAAATTTAAGTGGAGGTCCTGCATTTTATCCGGCAACTCTCTCAGGGTCACACATCTGTCTCTCTGTGTCCATCACAGTGGGAGGAGCGGCAAAGGGAGAGATGGGCACTCAGGAGGGCGAGGGCTCTGGGCCTGTGGAAGGGAGGGAGCGGACAGTCCTGTGAAGAGCTTTGGTGCACTCTGGCCACCCGAGAACTAAGCAAGGCTCTGACGCGCTGTCGGTGGGTAAGCCGGACCATCTTCCCTGGCCTCGGCTTCCTTATCAGTGAAATGAGATAGCTCTCCTCAAAGGGTTAAATGCGCTTGTGTGCAGCACACACTGGAAACATCCACAGTCTGGAGCAAGTTTGAGTTGTGAGCCAGATGTTGAGTTATTCCTAAGGGGAAGAGATAGAGTTCTATCTAAAAGACTTGAATATGTGTTTTAGGAGAGAGAATGCAGGCAGGGAAGAGAAGCCTCTCGGTTTGATGATGGTGGTGATGATGATGATGGTGATGATGATGATGATGGTGGTGGTGATAATGGTGATATGATGGTCATGGTCATGGTGATGATGATGATGGTGATGGTGATAATGGTGATATGATGGTGATGGTCATGATAATAATAGTACTGATAGGGCTGGAGAGATGGCTCGGGGGTTAAGAGCACTGACTCTTCTTCCAGAGGACGTGAGTTCAATTCCCAGCACCCACATGGCAGTTCACACCTGTCTGTAACTCCAGTTTCAGGGGACCCTGACATGCATGGCAAAAACACAAATGCACATAAAAATAAAATAAAATATATTTAAAAAAATAATAGTACTGATGGCAAAGAACCACACTGAATCCCACACTCAGCAATTACATGACCTCAACTTTCAGCGATTCTGGGCAACCCAGTATGGTCCCCGGGTTTCATAACACAGAGCCGAACACTGAGAGACAAAGAGACTGTACTCTGAGCAGCACCAACCCCATCTGAGCCATCATACTGCATGCCTCTCTGTGTGGCTATTCACTGTATATCACACGGCCAGGGCTTCTGGCTGGCAGCTGAGAGTCCAGTCATTTGTTTTCCCAAGACGGTCATTGGTCCTCTCTACCCTGCCCCACTGATGTCTTTGTTCTGTATGGATCTGTTCTGCCAGGATCCTCTGAGGAGCGCTCTGTATTCATTAAGGCTTCCCGGAAGTTGCTGGAACCAAGAAGGGACTCTTCATCCCTCCTGGATCTCCTAGGGTCTGAGGGCTTTAAGGATAAGCCTGTGCAGCTGCAACTCCACCTGGCTAGGGCACCCATGTGGGGCCAGGACCTGCTGCTCACGCTACATGTCCAGAGGGTGCCAGACAGAGCCCACAGTCAGGACCCCATTGGACTGATGGTACGCTTTTGTGCGCAGGCCCTGCTGCATGGGGGCAGCACTCGGGAACCCTTCTGGAAACATGCGGTACGCTTGAGTATGGATTTTGAGAAGGGTGAGTATGTGGCAGGCATGAGAAGGAGCACCTGTAGAGAGGAGAGTTTTGGGTCTGTGAATCACGCTGGCCTGCTCTAGGCAAATCACAGAGAAACCCTCTCTCAGGATGCATATCTTCCTGGTCAGGGAAGATGCTGATGCTGCACAGCTGGATGCCAGTGCAGTACTTGTGACGTCATCCTAACACGTCAGACAACAATGACCTCTGAGTGCATGATTCCTTTGTAACCCATCTCTTGGACTCAAGATGATGTTTTTGCCTCTGTTTAGAGCTACAGTGGCCGCTCCTGCTGCCCTACAACAATTACAAGAACAAGCTGACAGACGAAAAGCTGATCCATGTGTCTGGCATTGCTGAGGTTGAAGAAACAGGGCGGTTCATTCTGGTCCTAAAAGATTTCTCTCTGGAGCCTCCCCACTTATCTATTGAGGTGAGGTCTCTGGACAGAGATGGGGACCCAGAGACTCTAAGGGGGGGGTACCATGTCATACTGTATAGCACAGTCTCTGAGGCTTTACTCTCAATCACAGGCAGCAGGCTGAGAGGTTGTGAGCGCTGGTGCTCTGCATAAACCAAGGGTGGGACGTCTCATGGAGGTCACATTTTGCAGAGGATGCTGAGGAAGGTTCTCTGTGGAGAACAGATGAAGGCCTGTTACCGTGAAGGTGTATACGTAAGGAGATCCCTTCACAAAGGTAGAGATGAAAAGGCAATGATTTGGGATGAGGAGTAGAGGAGACAGGTTTAAGACAGGACCTTGTGGTCAAATTCAAAAGGTGACTGCTGATAAGATGTGGGGGTGCCACAGGAAAGAAGAACAAGACGTGAACTTCAGATTTCAAGACCCAATGCCAGAGTGGCGTGGGTGGCTCCCACAGAGGAGGGCATTAAGAAAGGTCCACAGAGGTGGGTGTGTGTCCTCCCTATCTCCTGTCACCTGAGCTGTCTTTCCCCAAAGCATTCTTCCCTACCTTTCCCTTCCCCTCCCAAAGACTTTTCCAGTGCCTACCCCAAGTCCAGCTGTGTACCTGGAAGCCTGGTTAACAGCATGCCTGGCACTAGCCAGCAGAACAATGGTTGGATGGCTCCGTATTGCATGGCAAGTCGGCTGGCACATTCGCAGTCTTCACCTGGGCATACTCTCAGATTGTCAGGCCGGGTGATGCTGGAGGCCTCCTGGGGGGCGCTCACAGTGGGGCAGAGTTGCAAGTGTAGACACAAGCTCCGTGCTGAGCCAGGGCTCTGCCGGTTACCCAGAGCAGAGTCCTGGTTGTAATGGGATCCCCAAACAACATAGCACATGTCAAGGAGGCTGTGAATGGTTACCACGGCTGTAAGACCTGTGGGTGATTACCGTCCCTGTGCTGGGTTCCAGAGTTAGCTTCACCCACTTGATTTTGATACCCCTTTGGAGACTTGGTTCTTTTGTTTGAGTTCCAGGTAAGTTAGGGTGTGTTCTTCCAACTCTTTAATTCTCTGGCCAAGCTAGAGCATGCCGCCAGTTGTGATCTGGTCAGACAGAGCTCATTTGGATTCAATACTCACTTACTGATGCCCATCATCACTGTCCTAGGCATTGTCCTAGGCTCCAGGAGTGAGAACAGAAGCCCCGCCTCCCATTACAGGCTAAGGCTGTGCTGCTGTATGACACAGACCTCAAGAGCGAAGCACTGAACACATCTGGGGGAAAACGAGTATGTCCTGCTGATGTCTGTGAAGATACATCAGGATGGGAAAAAGCTCCTAGGCTAGGATCTAGACCCCTTGGTTAGGTCCTGACTGTCATTAATCCATCATGGGATCTCAGCTTCATCATTCTTTGTTGGTGGAAGGATATCCCTGATGGCGCATAGGTGGCACACAGGACACTCCTCCTTAGTCCTCTGCATGGGTTAGACACCACTAATCAATCACAAATGACTGGGATTGTGCTTGGGATCCTACTTAACACATGCTAGACACTGCTAACCCTTTGGGACCAGTCCATCAGTTAAATCCAGCAGGCATCTTCAAATGGATGGTGGGAAGGGAAACTCTATGCCCATCCATGACAGGTGGCAGCTTGCTAGAGTGTCCTGAACTTGTAAAACAGGTCAACGTCTGTGTTAGTTTGTTATATGTGTTAGGCTCAGTTTATAGTTGTCTCTACCACTAGGGGCGCCTACGTTCTAAGCAGTCCTTGGTGGTCACAGGAGGAGTTACTGAGTGGGTGTGAAGCCTGGGGTACCTCTGTCTTCTCCCCACACAGGTGTTTGAAAGGGCTGAGGTGGGCAAGGCCCTGACCATCCACATCACCCTCACCAACACCCTAATGGTGGCTCTGAATAATTGCACCATGATTCTGGAGGGGAGCGGCCTCATCAACGGGCAGCTAACAAAAGAGTGAGTAATGCTACCACTGGCCTCTTGCCAATCTTCCTCTGGTGCTGGTTTCTGAAGAGCTGTGCCTCGTGGGACCACTGAATCCTTCTCGGTCTCCAGATGTCACCTGTTGGTCCCCACTTCCCTAACCTCAGGAAAGCTGGCGGTTTGGTGATACTGAGGGGCGCTACTCACTAAGCAGGGCTTCCTGCCCCATTGCCCATCCAAGCAGCCCATCCTGCAGGCTCCAACAGGCTGCTTTTGACTTTCAGCCTTGGGACTCTGATGGCCGGACACACCATCCAAATTCAGCTGGAGCTCTACCCCATCAAAGCTGGGCCCCACCAGCTACAAGTCCTCATCAGCAGTAGCGAGGTCAAGGAGATCAAAGGCTACAAGGACATCTTCATTGCTGCAGCCCCAGTCTCCTGAGCCTTCCTGATGCCCCCTCCACCCCACGTGTCCCCGTTTCAGCCCCGCTTCCCGTCCTCGGCATAGCCTTGCTGCTTTCTACTTCTCAAGGTGTTGTCTTGATTCAACCTCGGTAGTGGGGGCAAATGAAACGCCGTGGAACCGCTGTGCATCATGGGAAGAAGCAATAAACATGCATGAGCTCTCTCCTTGCGCTAAGAAGCTGCTTACTGTTCCCGTTGGCCTGGGTGCCCACTACGGGGCTGGGCGGGCCCTCTCTGCTCTTCCCGTCTTCTCTTTCTTCTGTTAAGGGCTTCGTCTACATACTAAGCCCACCGGATCCTTTCTGATGCCAGGTCTCTACACACATATGCCCTTAAGTGAACGTAGAGGCAGGGGTGAGGTGGGAGCCTGAGAGGTAGCAAATGCAGGGCCAACTACCAGAAGCTGCCGGGCAGAATGTCCCTGTTACCTTCCTGCGAGCTCCCAGCAGGGCAGGGAGCCCGTCTGAGCCAGCAGGTACTTGGCGAACATGGCCATCTTCTATCCTTTCTCGCTACCCTCACTCTCCACAGCTTCTTCTTTTACATCTTTGCTGTTTTTAGGACAGAGGGAGCCACGTTTTGCATTCTTCACTGTAGTTACTAAAATCTCCTGTGCTTATCCTTGATAATGTGGAAAGAACCGAAATCCTCTCCCGCCCCCCTGCCCCCCACCTTTTACATGCTATTACCACCCTGGTAGGCATTTTTTTTTTTAAATCCAGGAATCTGGGCCCCGCCCTCCTTTGGCTCCTGTCACTGACGTCCTCCCCATCCAGTTCTTTTGCTTATTTGCTTGCCTTAGCCATTGTCGTTTTTTTTTTTTTTTTAAATCTCAGGCTGGCCCCTAGGCTTGTGCCTCCCCAGCTCCGCCCACACCCAGCTGCTTGGTGTCCTGCGAGTCCTGCTCCACCCAGTGTGGCAGCTGTCCCTGTCCCCGTGAGCATCCCTGGGTATTTCTGTCAGTACTTTATGACTACTGAGTTCTGGGTGGCTCCTACACTCTGGACAGGGTCACCTGTCCTGACTCGTTCAGAAATTAATACTTTGCTTCTCTTCCAAATGTCCTTCTCCATTTGGTCATTCCTGTCCTGGCTGCATCCCTGGTATAGCCAGGCTTCCTTCCTGCTGTGCCTCCAAGGGGTGTGTGTGTGTGTGTCCTAGTCATTTCTGTCTTCATAGGCTTCCTCTCAGGTGACTTGCTTCTCCTCACCCCGAAAGTGGCTTTCGAAGTCATACTCAGTGGTGTGTTTTGAAGGTTTTTTTTTTTTGTTTTGTTTTGTTTTGTTTTGTTTATTGCAACCCTTCTGGTTTTGTTTCCTCTCCTTGGTCACATGAGCTAGGTCATCTCAAAGCTCCTTTCCAGTGGATCATCCCCCAAGGTCCAGAGTATGAGGTTCATCACACTGTGTGGTGTACCCAGAGATTAGAGTCTGGAGAGTCTGTCTCCTTACTTCACAGCAAACCAGTAGAGTCAACCAAGGAAGCCAGGCAGGGACTCCTGTGGACAAAGGTGGCAAAAGAAATACCCAGACAATGGAGCAAAGAGTTGGCACAAGTCAGGCCAATAGCATAGCTCGAGACTCTGCTCTTCCTGTCCCGAAAAGGTGCATAGAGGCTGTCATACTCGAGACATTTGGGCCGAGAGGTTTGGGGTCCATGATACCTAGCAGCAATGTGTCAAACAACCCTAAGTGCTTGCTCTTGATTCCATGGAGAGACCTTAGATGCCCCGATGTGAAGCAACAATGACAGCCATAGGTTGCTGAAGAGGTCAAATTAGAAAGTGGATTCAATCGTGTTTTGTAAAATGTGGGACACCCCAATCCCTTAACTTTCTTGGTGCCTCCATTTCTGAGGGATGGCTGGGGGAGGGGGCAGAAAGCCCCACTTGGATCTTCTGATTCTGGCTAACCTCTGTGGTCGTTTGTAGGACCCTCAGCACCATCTCCCTAGACTGGGGACCAGGGTGTTACACCAGGAGCTACACACAAGGAGACCAGGACTTTCTCGGGGCATACCAGAAATTCCAGGCAGGGCTGGAATCAGCTCCCAAGTCTCTGTGGGTCTTAGAAAGGTTTGGAGCTTCCCCCGACCACCCTGCTTGAGCTGGTTCTTTGGAGATGGCAGGTGAGTAATCTACTTGTGTTCCTCTCCTGAGGTCACAGCCCTGCTTCGGTCCAGATAGGAAAGTAAGGTGATGCTCACAGATCTTGCCCAGCCTCTCTGAACAAGGGGCATCCTGTCGTGATCAGAACTACCTCCCTGCCTCCCCACACTTCCCCCACACCCTGTGACTAATGGTCTGTAGGACTAGAAGGCCAAACCTGTAAGTCACCTCCTTGGGCTCAGAGCCCAGGACTTATTCAGACACCAAGGTTCAGGCAAAAGAGTCACTGTTGGTTTCCTGGTCCCAAATGAGCTTTGTGCCCTTGTGATTCTTTTCTTTCTTTCTTTCTTTCTTTTTCTTTCTTTCTTTCTTTCTTTCTTTCTTTCTTTCTTTCTTTCTTTTCTTTCCTTCTTTCTTTTTTTAAAAAAAGATTTATTTATTTATTATGTACACAGAAGAGGGCACCAGATCTCATTACAGATGGTTGTGAGCCACCATGTGGGTGCTGGGAACTGAACTCAGGACCTCTGAAAGAGCAGTCAGTGCTCTTAACCTCTGAGCCATCTGTCCAGCCCTCCTTCTTTTATTTTTATTTTTAAAATTGTATGTGTAAGGGGGTGTTGCCTGCATGCATGTCTGTGTACTATGTGCATGCCATGCCTAGTGCCTGCAAAGGCCAGAGGAGGACATCAGCTCTCTTGGAACTGGAGTTTCAGATGGTTGTGAGGTACCACGTAGGTGCTGGGAACCAAACCTGGGTACTCTGGAAGAGCAGCCAGTGCTCTTTAACTGCCCCCCCTCCAGCCTTCCCCCTTTTTTCTTTTGTTGATTTCTTTCTTTTTTAGAAGGGCACATAGCAAGATTTATTGGGGGAGCAAATGAACAGCTCTCTGGAGCGGCAGGAGTCCTGCAAAGGAGTTGCTTCCTGTGGTACTTCCACCTCCTTCTCCTGTCCGTGGCTGCCGGACACCAGTCTCAGAGTGGTCCTGACCGTGACAAGTCCTCTGGGGAGGACAGATGTGGATGCCCTGTCCTCTGCTCCAGGGATTATAACTGTCCTGGCAGGAATGAAGATATTCTTAAAGACACTTGTGTCCCTCCCTTTGGTTATCAGATTTTTGAAACAGTGAATCCAAGGAATTGGACTGTCTCCAGGAATCCTATGCTAGGAGAAAGAAAAGGCTGAATCCTGGCACCAGCCAGTGAGGAAGGATATGTCACACAGTTCTGACTACCTGCTGGAGGGACTCGGAGTGGAGACGATGGGACCACACCTTTGCCTGGGACTGCTGAGCACACATACTCATCTTAAAACATCAGCCGAACAAGGGCAACAACAAAAGACAGCTAAAGTGGGGGGGGGACGACGACAACAGAGCGAGGGGCAGAGCACAGGTCTCACCCCTACACAAAGAGTGAGGGGTAGAGCACAGGTCTCACCCCTACACAAAGAGTGAGGGGCAGAGCACAGGTCTCACCCCTACACAAAGAGCAAGGGGCAGCTAAGGAATGCTAAGAAGGGGAGAAACACTCTTCCCTAGGGAAGAGCACACCAATTGGTTATCGAATACCAAACGGTGAGTTCTGAAAACATACATACACATTTTAGATACTGCATTAAACATTTAGAGTTACAATGCTCTGGAGTTCTGCTGCATTCCAAGGCTAGCCTAGTAGTTCTTTGCAAGGAGCTTTGGGAAAGCAAATGCCTTGATTTCCTCATTTGCTATATAAGATCAGCAAGAACTCCTAATTCACAGGGAACTGAGAGGTGGCTCAACAGTTAAGATCACTTGCTGCTATTTCAGAAGACCCAGGTTCAGTTCCCAGCACCCTCATGGTAGCTCACAACCAGCTGTAACTCCAGATCCAGGGGGTCTGAAACCCTCTCTTGGTCTGCAAAGATACTTCATATATGTGGTACACAGATATACATGAAGGCAAAACATTCATGCACATTAAAATAGATAAATCTTTGGACTGAAAATAGTGGCATATGTCCAGTTTTTAATTCCAGCTTGGAAGGCAGAGGCAAGACGATCTCTGTGGGTTTGAAGCCAGCCTGGTCTACATAGCAAGAGGTCAGTCAGATAGGGCGACATAGTGGAACCATGTCTCAAGTTAAACAGTCAATCAGTCAACCAATCTAAGAAAACACCCTCCTGATTCATAGAGATGTGAGACTAAGAGGGATAATCACACAAGAATTTAAACTAATATCTAGTACTAAAAAATGATTGCATTAGTGGTAGTAGTACTACTATTGTCTACCGTCATTATTAATCACTGGCAATGGCGTTAATAATTATCATATGGAGAAATGTTTTGGTTTAGGGATGACAAGCCCCTAACTCCCAGTTTGGTGTAGAATGTTAGGAAGGCTTCTTAGCAGGGTGATGCTCTAACCTGGAGACAAGTAGACAGACAGAGAGCATTTCAGAAAAAGAGATCATTCGGGAGAGAGGGGGAGGGGGGAGAGCCCACACGGAGATGTGAAGGAGAGGTCTCCATCAGAGAACTGAAGGGGTTGGCATACTTGGTCTCCATGTGGGAAGAGAAAGATGAACCTCAAAGGTTCTTAGGGTGATGTTGGGAAGTTCAGAATTCATACCCTTTTGGATCCTAAGCAGAGGAACTATTTGTTTGAATTGACTCTTTAGAAAAATCAGTGGTAAGACACAAAGGCCCTGGATTTGGGATAGAGCACGTTGGGACAGAGGAGTACATGGGAAGGGATGGAGAGAGGAAAGAGAAGAGAGGAAATAATGGAATTATAATTTCAAAAACTGTTGAAAAATCAGTAGTGCTGAGTCCCGAGAAAGGAGGCGGGGGAGTTGGTTAGGAGTGGTTGTCCGGACGAGCCGGTGTTTCAGTGAAGGCAGAGCTGAGGGACACAGAGAGGAAGAGCCAATTCTAGGTGCTAATCAGGGTTTGAACTGGACTGATGAGCTAAAGAGAGGTAAGAAGAGGAGAAATGGCCCAGATTTCACCTTTATTGCCTGGGTGTCGTATCCTCACTCACCACGATCAGAAACC